CCAAGTAAAACCCGGTAACAAATGCCAAGTTAGGGCGTGTATATACTTGAGCATGTTGCAAGCTTCCGACAGCTGAAGCATATGGAACCACTTTCACTTTATCAATTGAGCTCATATTGGTTCCTAGGGCATTGAAAATCTCCATATCTATCGCCCTTGACTATAGGAGCAGGTGAGGGACTACATTTGTGCATACTGAATTTCTTTAAGATCTTTTTCATGTATGCCTTTTGTGACAGTCCTTATACCCTTTTTCTTCTATCTCAGTGAATCTCGATCCCTAGAATGAACGAGGCTTCGCCAAGATCTTTCATATCAAATTTCTTTGTCTCTAGTAGTAGACTGACATCACTACTAGCAAGTAAGATATCATCTACATACAAGACAAGGAAGATAAACTTCCTATTCTTAAACTTTGTATTGACACAATTGTCCTCTACATTCTCTTTAAAACCCAAAATTCTTTATTGTCTGATAAAACTTCAAGTACCACTGTCTTAAAGCTTGTTTTAATCCATAAATGGATTTCTTTAAGCGGCAACACATTCGTTCTTTTCCTTCCATGACAAAACCTTTCGGTTGTGCCATGTAAACATTTTCCTCCAAGTCTCCGTTGGGAAATGCCGTCTTTACATCCATCTGATGTAATTCTCAATCGTAATGTGCCACTAATGCCATTATGATTCTGAAGGAAACTTTACATGAGACTGGAGAAAATGTCTCATTGTAATCAATCCATTCTCTTTGCATAAAACCTTTTGCCACAAGTCGTGCTTTATATCTCTCTATATTCCCTTGAGAGTCAAGTTTTGTTCTGTAGACCCACTTACAGCCTACTGTTTTGGCTCCTTTAGGAATTATTTCCAAGTCCCAAACTTTATTGGCATTCATTGATTTTATTTCATCTTCCATGGCCTCAAGCCACTTTGATGAATGATCACTTCTCATGGCTTCTTCAAATGAGGTGGGATCATCCTCCATTTAAAATTCCTCAGTGTTGTATACTTCATAATCAGCAGGAATAGCTGATTTTCTAACTCTTTGAGACCTTCTAGGGGCCTCCACTTTTGGCACATCTTCTGTTTGAGGCTGTTGTTGCTCCCCCTCATGTGTGGCAATAGGTTCTATAGAATCCTGAAGAATAGGTTCCTCATCATCATTCATTGTTGCCACAGGTGGGATAACAACAGTTGCTAACACCATAGTCTCTTGCACTAATGGTGCAGCGACAACAGGTAGTGAGAAAATTGGCTCATGAATCATTAGAGTGGGTGCATACACCCGCTTCACTTCAAGGTCAATTTCTCGAGCTAGCATGCTACCCCTCATCAGTTCATCCTCTAGGAAGACAGCGTGTCTCGTTTCCACAAACTTTGTATGTCTCTCTAGACAGTAGAAACGAAAACCTTTTGACTTTTCTGGGTAGCCAAACAAATGACAACTTACTATTTTGGGTTAAATACTTTAGCCTCAGCAGGACTCCCCCACACACAAGCAAGTGGTTTAGTGGGGGTACTCTTTCTGTCCACAACTCATACGGTGTTTTGGGCACCAACTTACTTGGTACTCTACTGAGAATATGAATGTCGGTTTTAACGCCTCCATCCACAGGCTCAACTGTAAGGTGGAGTAACTTATCATACTGCCCACCATCTCCATCAGGATGCGATTGATTCTTTTAGCTACTCTATTCTGCTGAGGTTCGCCCGGTGTAGAATACTGGGCTACTATGCCATTCTTTTAGGGTATGCCGACCGTAGTACTCCCCCACGGTCAGACCTGACTATCTTAATCTTTAATATCTTAAATTTATCCAATATATCTTTTCTTTCTTTGATTGGATAAATATAGCCATAATAGGAGTAATCATCTATGAATGTTATGAACAGATCATAACCATCCACACTCTTTACAGGAAACTAACCACAGATATCTATGTGAATAATATGTAGAATTCCTGTGCTTCGTTTGTCATCTTTCTTAATCTTCTTTACATACTTTCCTTTTATGCATTCCCTGCATTGTTCTTAATCTGAGAGCTCTAATGGAGGAAGAATATCATTCTTAACTTGTCTTTCTATTCTTCCCCTCGAAATATGGCCTCAACGACAGTGCCATAATTTCGATAACGCATCGTGAGCTCTCTTATGCTATCATTATCAGAGTAACACTCTGTGATCAGCTGCTTTATCAGCTAGGTAGCATATGTCTTTGAAGAGACAGTGAACTGACTCTTTATTCTATCATGTATTCGGTGACCGTGTCACACTCTGGGATTGAGCCCATAATTGTAGGTTCAATCACGTTCTTTATCACAGCCAAATATTTCTTATTGGCAGTGACCCACTTCCTATGCTCAAAGGTCATAGGACATCTTTTGGGATTCAAAATCCCTTTCTTTAGTTGCCCAAGTGGCATCATTCTCTTTTGTCTCCCTCACCAGTGCCACAAACTCAGTGGAACACGGTGAGGTGACTACCCAGTCCACCTTAGACAAAATGAAAATCAGGTCAAAACTTTTCTTAACATAAAAGTAACACCATTTGCATGTCTAGATTCCAACGTTGGTCAAAATCAAAACATACAATTATTCTTATACACTAATTCTACATCATCGTTGGGCAGAAATAGAATTAATGCATAAATCATTAACTTTCATAACTATTCTTATACACTAATTCTACATCACCGTTGGGCAGAAGTAGAATTAATGCATAAATCATTAAAATTAACATATGTTCTTATACACTAATTCTACATCACCGTTGGGCAGAAGTAGAATTAATGCATAAATCATTAACATTACGATATTGTTATTAACAACGTTGTCAGAAAATAACAACATCATAATCATATCAAAACTCTTTTTTTCAATTAAATACCACGTTGATACAAATTAACTGGAGAATAAACAATTTCTCTAGCTGTGGAAGAACTTCTCCTTTTCTTGAATTTTACCCACAGAGAAAATTGCTTTTTCTATTTTCTTTAATCCATTATTTAATTTTTAGGAAATAAACATTTACTGGAAAAACTTTCTTTTTCTCCAGTTAAATATCACGTCGGATCAAAATCACTGGAGAATATACTTTTTCTTTAGCAGCGAAAAAAAACTTTCACTCAATTTCTTGAATTTTACCCACAGGGAAAAATTACCTTTTCTATTTTTTTATTTTGAGCCAATTTACATTTTTCAATTTTCCAGGAAAATGAAAAAAGAAAAAACAGGCTCATTTCTTTCTTTCTCGGCCCAAAACCGGCAAAAGCCAGCTCGGCCCGCCTCTTCGCGCGCGCGCAGGTCGCACCTAGGCCGCAAGCTAGGCCTGGGCCGGCAAAGTGCCGCGGCGCATTCGCCCTCCTGGGCCAAATTGCGGTCCGGCCACTTACATCCATTCGATCAGGATCGACGGCTCGTCCACGCATCTCGGGAGATCAAAACCCGCCGCGGTCTGTGCACCGAAAACCCTAGAGTCATTTCGCTTCCTCCGCTTCTCTCTCTACGCTCTCTTCTCAGCGCTGTGAGCACCGAGCGGCGACTGAGCGGGCAAAAACGGTGGAGCGGCAGAGCCATGGCGTCGTCGCCGGCCCCCTCGCCGGCGCGCGTGCCCCCCAACGGGTGAGCACGCCGTCGTCGAGCGGCCTGGTCGCGGCGCCCCCTTGGCCGAGCTCGACTAGCAGCTACCCCGGTTCGGTCCTTCTTTAACCGTGCCGGCGAAGGGCCATCCCCACGCATGGCGAGGTTTGTCCCTTCCCCTTTCCCTTTCTCTTTCTCTGATTTGGATTGATCTCTGTTTTCCGAACCGGAGGTGGGGATTACGGTTAGGGTTAGGGTTTCTTTGATTCTTTTTCTTTCTTTTGATTCGACCGATTCGGTTTTTCTCTCTGGAGTTCATCCGAATCGGAATCTAGGGTTAGGGTTCATGTGCCGACCCCTGTTCTTTTCTCTTCTTCCCCAATCAGATCTAGATCTTGTTTGCTTTTCTTTGTTTGACCGATTGGGGTGGGTCGTATCTTCTTTCTTTTCTTTTCGCTTGTTCACCCGAAAAAGGGGATCTAGGGTTAGGGTTCAATTGAACCCGATTCTTGTTTTCTTTTGGTTTGATTCAAGATCTGCGAGATTATCCCCTTCCCCTCTTCAATTCTTTCGAACGGTGCAGCTTCTTTCCCCCTTCTCTGATCCGAACACGGATCTGTTCTTTCTTGCCGTGTCAGTGCGGCACTTTTCCCGTGCGGTGGCGGTGGTGACCGGGGTTCCAGTGACCTCCGCCACCCCCGGTCCCTTTTCCTTTTCTTTTACCCGGATAGGGTTAGGGTTACACAGAGGCAACCTAGCTCTGGTACCATTGTTAGAATCGATGAATAGTACCTCTGTGTGTGTAACCCGTAGATCTGGGGAAGACCCTTCTCGCCTTTCACTATTGCGGCACAGCAGCAGCGTAGACGCCGGTGTAGGGGCAGCTCTGGCTCGGTGGCGAGACGGCGGTCCGGTGGTGCTGCAGTGGAACGGTGGAGACCATGCAGAGGCGACGGCGGTGGTCGGTGGGGCACATCCCGTCGCTGGCAGCACGTCTTTAGATCGGTTTAGGGTTTTCTGTGGGTGGGATGGCGGCTCTAGTGAACCTCGTAGTCCGAGCCTTGATCCCCACCTTCCTTTTATGTGTGCTGTGTGATAGGGGCCCACCAATCGGATTAGGGTTGGGCTCCCCCGATCAGGGAGCAGAGATAAGGGCACAATAGGCCGTTGAGCCTATTGGTGGAGATCAACTAACAGCATCCCATCAAGCCTACTCAACATCTCTAAACTAGAGCTACTCGTGCTTTCTTCAAACATGTTAGATGGGCCAATACCGTCTAATATCGGTTCCCTCTTTAACCTTAAGTACCTGTTCCTTGATGGTAATAGTTTCACTGGAGGGATCCCATCAAGCCGGCTCAATATCTCTAAGTTAGAGGAGCTCGTCCTTACTTCAAACATGTTAGGTGGGCCAATCCCACCCAGTATGGCTCGCCTCTTTAACCTTGAGTACCTGTACCTTGATGGTAATAGTTTCACTGGAGGCTTCCCATCAAGCGTGCTCAACATCTCAAAGCTAGAGAAGCTCGTGCTTTCTTCAAACATGTTGGATGGGCCAATACCGCCTAATACCAGTTCCCTCTTTAACCTTACGCTTCTCCACCTTGATACTAATAATTTCACTGGAGCCATCCCATCAAGCCTGGGCAACATGACTAAATTAGAGGAGCTCGTGCTTTCGGATAATCAGCTCGAAGATATCATACCTGAAGAGCTTGGGCATTTATCAAATATGAATAGATTGACACTAGGAGGAAATAGACTATCAGGCAGCATCCCAACCACAATTTTCAATCTATCTTCTCTTGGAATTTTGGACGTCAGTGTGAATTTCCTACATATGGCGTTGCCATCTAACATTGGCAGTACCCTTCCTCTCCTCCGCGTGCTTAGCTTGCACAATAACATGTTCCATGGTCAAATCCCAGCCTCACTAGGAAACGCTTCGGTCCTCCTGGCATTAGATTTCACATCTAACAATTTCACGGGCCATGTCCCTAGTTCTTTAGGAAATCTAACATACCTGTACTTCCTAAAACTAGAACAAAACAATCTTGAAGCAAAAGACAGTGAGGGCTGGGAATTCATAGATGCACTGGGCAAATGTATGAGTCTGCAATACCTCTTATTATCTGACAATCAGCTGCAAGGAGCCCTACCAAATTCAGTTGGAAAGTTGTCCAACAGCAGTCTCCAGTACCTACGATTAGGGAAAAACAACTTGTCAGGGATGGTTCCAGAGACAATAGGGAACCTTGTTGGCTTAAATGAGTTGGTTCTAGATATATGAATTTATGCTAAAACCGGAATTTGGACTCTTGGTTGCATCAGGAAGTGAATGGGAAAGTCAGAAAACCTTTGGACTTAAATCAAAGAACATGCTTAGCTGTCAACATAGCTGACGTACTTGATTATCTGCACAACAAAAGTGGGAAAACAATTATCCATTGTGATGTCAAGCCCAGTAACATACTCCTAGATGATGACATGAATGCTTGTTTGGGAGACTTCGGCATTGCAGAATTCTATCTTGATTCTAGGACGACATCACCTGGAGATTCAAAAACTATAAGCTCAACCGGTGTGAAGGGTACTATCGGCTACATACCTCCAGGTACTATCGGCATTGGAAAATTCTATCTTAATTCTAGGCAGTATACTTCGAGTGTGCACTAATTCAATGTATCTTCAGAATATGCTCGAGGTGGTCACGCATCAACATATGGGATGTTTAATGTTTTGGAATAGTACTTCTAGAGATGCTGACAGGGAAAAGGCCAACAGATCATTTGTTTGTGGATGAACTAAACATTGTTAACTTCGTGGAGAGGAGCTTCCCTGATAAAATATTGGATGTGACAGATGGTTCCTTACAAGATGGCGTCAAGAGTGCCCAGATAAATATGGTAACTGCAAATGAGGACTACCAATGCTTGTTTTCTCTACTGCAAGTAGCACTTTCTTGCACACGAGAAATTCCTGCTGAACGAACGACCATGAAAGATGCAGCTAGCAGAATTCGTTCTATCAAGACCACGTATGCCGGAGGAGAACGCAAACATACATTGAACTCAAACCATCAGTATACCGTGCCCATGCTAGCTACACAACACATATCTTGATATTCTACTGGTATATGCACTTAAAAAGAAACAAGAATATTTAGATTATCATTCATCGTATTGCACCAAATTGTTATGGAATTTCCATTTATACTACTAGTCCATCAACTCATGCTCTTGAATGGGCTAGAGTTTTAGGAGATATAAGTATTACTTATTGTTTTATGCAACTGACTAATAAAGAATTACTTACATTAAATTGTAGGTTTTTTCTTTTTGTTTATTTTCGAACACAATAGACATAATAGATCCTTTGTAGTCTGTATCATAAATTTATTAATTACTATTATTAGTTCAAGGGACTAATCTTTATATTTTTTCCATCCATATTCATATTTTACTTCTGCATGGCACCTAGATATATTTTAAATATGCAATTAGTTTGAAAACTTACCATTAAGTATGGTGGATCTTGTTGCATCACATATCTTATGAAGTCATGAATCTAAATTTAGTTTTTTCAAATTTTATTCTTATTGACTGCTCCAGATTAAGTTAAATTGAAACTCTTGTGCTTATTATATCTTTCATTAACTCTCCTTTTTGCACTTTTGTAAAATAAGGAAAAGCATAAGCCATCATTTAAAACATACACCATGTCATTTAAGATAACTCACAGAGCTTCAACTGAGATCTGGATAGGGATAGTTACTAATAAAGTTTTAAACAATTTTGTGTCATTAGTATATGAGTTGTCAAGGTAATATTTTTTATGTGACGAAACATAACATAGATATTTGTTGTTTTTTATGTGACGAAACATAACATAGATATTTGTTGGTCATGCATGTTGGAATGACCCATATTTTACTATATTAATATTGATTGAGGTGGATAATGTAGAAACATATATATGCTCTATGGTTATTTGAACAATTTTCTTCTAATAGAAGATGTCGATAATTAAGATGTGGATTAAGGGGTACTTCATTTTGCTAATAATGAGATTAAAATTTAGCTATGTAAATTATTGATCATAACATAACATCAGAGAACACGGAAGCATCAACAATGACAAAATTAAGACGTTAACCATAAGCTCCATGACAAAAGGATAAAAAGAAATATCCAACTAAGACCATCATAACTATTAAAACACATGGGTTTATTTTTAGTGTATATCAACAAGTGTGTACTCATGCTGCTACTTTCATCGTGCCAAGCAGCCTCGAAGCTATGCACCTGAGATAAGGGAAACAATCATGAGAGGTTTATGGAAAACCTAAGCAAGCAAACTGCTTTAACAAAGCCATTCAAACCACATCTTGATTAAACATCAAATTTAAGTAGATGATAACAAAACAACAAATACTTCACAAGTTGTACTTCGTTGTGCAAAATGCAATTGTCTAATGCAATGTATGACTTCACTTCTACCCACACATCCCAAAGAGAGGGAGTGAAGACTGCAACGACATTGCTCATTTCATCATGCGTTGTTGTGTCGATGCTTACCGCACCAATCTGGCTACGGTTTGTTCAAATTCATCTCTAAGGGAAAAGTGCAAATGCAATGCTGCAATATGTGCACTTCACATACTTCATACTTCATAATTCATAATTTTGAGAGTAAAATACCGCAAGCTATGGAAAAAATACTTCAAAGTAAGTGATAACTTCATATTTAGATTATCTGGCTAGTATGAGTAATTGAAATTTGGTGGAGGTCATTCAAACAACGAGGTCAAAGCATGTGGATCATAGCGCCACATTTACTTGCCTTAACCGAAGATCAGGATGGTGAGCTAAGAACGATCCGAAGGTGCCCCACCTAATCACAAGCGAACCTCAATACCAATACCATCATATAATCAATTCAAGCATCTACCATTCCACTACAGTGCGAGATAGTAGCATTGTTCCTTCTCTTTTTAATACACTTTTAACCACACATCCGAAAATTCTCAAAATTTACCGGATGATAGAAAACTCCATTTTCTACAACTTTGGTCTAACTGTAGTGGTCCCTGCTTAGGGGTGGGTTGGGGCGGCTGGGGATGAGGAAAGTGTTGATTTGGAACGTCTCACCATTGATGCAAAGTGGAACAGTGAAGTAGGCTCCTCGATAGGATAGCTCCCTGCCACTACCAATGAGCACGGTAGTGGTGATGCGGCACTCGGCGAGGCCGATGGTACGGGTAGGGCTGTAGTCGATGACGTTGTGCGTGGTGCTTGTGTCGTCGAGGATGCAGACGCCCTAGCCAAGGATGGCTCCCGCTAGGAGCATGGTGCGTCCTCCACGCACCCCTTAGTTGGGGGCGCCTGTGAGCATCAGCAAACCAAGGCTCTGTAGCAGAGTTCTCGGTTTCGCTCCTCATTGGTTCTGCTGTTGGCGAAATCATGGTGAACAACTTGCTTGCCACGGTATCCACGATATCGAGAAGGCATGACTAGCGTCCTCCATGATGCGCATGGTCTCCTTCTTGAGCTCCGCTGTTGTGTTCTCCTGAAGCTCGGGGTAGCGTTGGCGTTCGATGTCGGTGAGGTGGAGGTCGAGCTTGGTGGGCTTCATGCTGAGCTCATCGAAGCGGTTGCCCATATTGATGGAGAAGATGCTTAGCATCCTCTTCATCTCAGCGGTCACAGTGGTGGTGGTGGAGGCCATAGGATCGATCTGGTCTCCTGATACTAGGTGTTGTGGTCCCTGCTCGGTGTTGTGATCTCAACAACTTATTTTTGCATTTTGCATTTGCTGTGTAGTAGTAGTAGTAGAGTAGTGCTGTGTAGTAGTAGAGTACATGTGAGTGGTAGAGAGTAGTATTAGTACAATAGATAGTAGTAGTAGTAGGTTGAGTAGTACTAGTAGAGTAGTATTGTATAGTAGTAATAGATTCAGTAGTACTAGTAGAGTAGTATGTTTCCATGATATTAATAATAAGTTACAAAACTTGTCTTCAATAGATCGAGCTATATTATTACATATATGTTTCTAGGATACATATATCATTTTGGTGCAGGTGCTTTCACCGTCCTCTTCTCACCGTCAGGGCGGGCCCACGGCATCATCCTGGACTTGTTGAATCGGTCCTCGACGGCCTTGATCTTCTTTGGATGATCGGTAAAAAGCTCGAGCTCTACGTAGTTGTTGTATTGTTCGGGACTCTGCACCCGATCAGCTCCCACAATCCGCTGCTTTTCGGACACAACCACATGCCTTTTTGGGTCCTCTGCATATATATAGTAGGCCACTTGCGCGACATTGGTTGCTAGTACCCACGGGTCATCTTTGTAGCCGATACTTTTGAGGTCATGATGGTTAGCCCATAACTGTCCACTGCAACCGCATTCGGTTTGACCCACTGGCAATGGAAGACGGTTATGCGTAGGTTTTGGCCGTAGTCAAGTTCCCATATTTCTTCTACTTGCCCATAGTATTGTCTCCTTTGTCCCATGGACTCTTCTTCTCCCTCGTATCGAACACCGCAGTTCTGTGTCGAGCTCTTCTTGTCCTTGTCTTTCGTGTGGAACTTGTAGCCCTGGACATCATAGCCTTTGCCATGTGGTGATTTGGCTGGATGGGCCTAACACAAGCCTCTTAACGGTCTCCGTATCTTCATCAGGGCATCCTTCAAGGGGTATGTGTTGCTCTTTGAGCCACTCTATGAAATTGCTCTTGTGATGGTTCTAGACCCATGCCTCCGTGCGCTGCCCATCATTAGTGGCGCGGATCTCTTCCAGGTGCTTTTCAATGTATTTCTCCATGCTCACTAACTGATGAAGGATGCTGTAATGAGCTTTTTGCACCGTTCGGTTTGCCACATCGGTGCGTACTTTTCGGCCTGTGCACCCCATCCCTGAGGTTTTGCCTTCATGGTGATGGACAGGCAGCCCAATCACCCTCCCATCTCTTATATACCTCATACACCAGTTCGCGGCCTCCTCTGTTGTGTATTCCTCGATCATAGAGCCCTCCGGGTAAGCATGGTTATGGACGTATCTGTTGAGGGTAGACATGAACTGCTCGTACGTCCACATCTGGTGTAGGTACACGGGGCCCAGTTGATGGATCTGATCGACCATATGCATCATTAGGTGTGGCATAATATCAAAGTAAGATGGTGGAAAGCACATCTCGAGCTGGCAAAGGGTCTCCGCGATGAACTACTTCAGGGCAGGCAGCTCAGCCTTATCAATGACCTTCTGGGTGATGCGATTAAAGAAGTATGACATCTGTGTGATGACCATCTTCACGTACTCTGGACGGATAGCCCTAATCGCAATTGGTAGGAACACCGTCAGCATGACGTGGCAGTCGTGTGAGTTGTAGCCGGTCATTATGAGGTCTTTCATGGAGACCAGGCTCTTGATGTTGGAAGAGAAACCAGTCGGCACCTTGATACCCCTAAGCAACTTAAGAAAAGCCGTCCTCTCGTCTTGTGTTAGGTTGCAGGCCGCACCCGGGATATCAACTTTACCGTTCTAAGGCGGTCCCGGGTGATGGTCCGGCCTGATGCCTAGATTGACAAGATCCGTCCATGACATGATAGCATCCTTTGTCTTGCCCTTGATGTCCAGCAGGACACCGATCGTGCTTTCGAAGACATTTTCTCTAGGTGCATGCAGTCGATGGCATGGGGTGTATTCAATGTTTTCCAATACGACAGGTACTTGAAGAAAATTGACTTCTTCTTGAAAGGAACGGTGGCGGGGACTTCCTCCGTCTGGTCCCACTTTCGCTTCCTTGTCTGCTTGGGCCCCTCTTCAGGCGGCTTCTTCTTCTTTCCAAACTCCACCTGATCCATGTCCTTGACCATCTCATACACCTTTGTCCCCCAACTAGTCTGCGTCGGTTGATCACGCTGCGGCTCGTCCTGATTGTCAAAGTATTTGTTCATAATACTTCTTCTATACCTGTGATTTTTGGTGAGGAACCGTCTATGCCTCATGTACACCATCTTATTGGATCCCTTAAGGTAAGTGTAGCAGGTCCCGTCGATGCAAATTATGCAGCCGGTCTTCCCTTTGATCTGCCCCGACAGTGAGAAGAGACCGGGGTAATTGGTGATGGTGACAAAGATGATTGCTTTTAGTGTGAACTTCTCCTTGTGGGATGCATCCATCATCTGGACCCCAACATCAAATAGTATCTTCATTTCCTCCATGAACGGCTCCAAGAACACATCTATATCGTTGCGGGGCTGCTTCGGTCTGGAGATAAGCATGGTCAGCATAAGGTACCTATGCTTCTGACATAGATGGGGAGGTAGGTTGTACATGGTGAGCACAACGGGCCAAGTGCTGTGCGAGCTGCTAAGCTCACCGAATGGGTTCATACCGTCTGTACTCAGCGCGAACCTAACATGCCTGGGCTCCTTGCCAAACTCTGGGTAGGCCTCGTCGAAATCCTTCCACTGCTTGCCATCGGATGGGTGCCGTAGCTTGCCATCGTCTTTCAGGCGGTCAGCTGATGCATGCCAAGACATGAGCTTGGCATCGTCCGGGTTCCCGAATATTGCATGCAGGCGATCGGTCACGGGCAGGTACCACACCGACAGTGCTGGACTTTTCCTGTGCGTGTAACCCTCTTCTTCATCGTCCTACTAAGCCGAGATCTGTTTGACCGCACTGCTCTTCTTTGCCCCCTTCTTGTTCTTCTTCCGACCACCCCGCAAGCCTCCCTCGTCTTCTGCATCCACGCGACAACCAGCATTTTTCTTGTACCGACTAAAGCCGCAGTGCGGACAACTTGTCAAATTCTCATACTCATTGCCCCGATACAGGATGCAGTGGTTAGGGCATGCATCAAACTTTCTAAGCTTCATCGCCACTGGCCGGATCGGCTTCTTGGCCCGATAAGTATTGGCGGGCACCTTGTTAGCCATTGGGTACGTGGTGGCAAGGTAGCTTAACAACTCATTGAAGCTAGTGTCAGACCAACCATGACGAGCCTTCAACATCAACAAATGGAGGTTAAAACGGAGCGCCGTGCACTCCTTCGGACAATCGCCGCCGTCCTTATAGAGAGGATCAACTGCCGCCTGCTTCAACTCTCTGAAATTCTCCAACCACTTTGGGCTACCCAACACAACATCGTCTTCATCGAAGTGTTTGACTAGATCTTCAACAAGCTGCACATCCTCGGGTTGGCTCATAGTATCCTGACCATCCCCACCGTCGCCGGCTTCGTCGGCCATGTCTTGCATTATATCATCCACCGTGATGTAATCACGACAACTGTTGTCACTGTTGGCTAGCGCAGCTGCTGCTGAAGATGATGAGGAGCTGGGTGCTCCTAAAGGATCTTTATTCACCAGTGGTGCTGTTGTCGTCGGCGTCGAAGAGCTCACTCCAGATGCACCGCCACTCGCACCAACTCTTTCGCCGTGAAATGTCCAGACTATGTAGCCCTCGACGAAACCATACATGATCAAATGAGTTTGCACCTCGCTGTCTCGGTGGGCTTTCAAGTTCTTGCAACGAAAACATGGACATATAGTTGTCATCCGCTTCAGTCTCTCACGGTGAGCTTTACCAGCAGCAATAAACTTCCTTAATTCAAAGAGGTACCGCAAATCATTCACTCTATTGATCCGGTACATCCATTCCGACCTATCCATCATACCTACGAACATTATCCGTCACAATCAACATTAAATAAAGAAGAATTAGGAGAAATTGATGATTTTTACGTCCAAAATCATGAAAAAGAGAGGAAATGACGATGTGAAAGATGAATCATGCATCTATGATGAATCTAAAGTTAAAGAAATACATAACATCATTTTTCCATTAAAATTGATCTAGGTCTAGATCTAGATCTAGAGAGAACTCTAGGTGATGGAAATAGAGAGAGAGGATGGAAGGAGAGAGGGAGAGCCTTTATGAACCTCTTATAATGTCCTCCTCCCTCAAATCCAAGCTCTTCAACTCAAATCAAAATTTTCCTCAAATTTTAGGGCAAAGCCTTCCCCCATGAGTTTGAGAGAGGAAGACCCGTGGAGAAGACGAAGGGGTGGTGCTGTGTATTTGTACAGGCTTTACCGCGACGGGCAAGATAAAGCGCCCGCCTCGGTAAATCAACTCTTTACCGCGGCGGGCAGTTTAAAGAGCCCGCCATGGTAAATCGTATTAACCGCGGCGGGCGATTCATACCGCCCGCCGCGGTAAATAACAATTTCCTACGGCGGGCAAGTAAGGTGGCCCGCCGCGGTAAACCATTTTCCCGCAGCGGGCGCCTCGGTGGCCGGCCTCGCTGGCCGGCCATCGGTTAACCGTGGCGGGCGAAAGAGGTGCCCGCCACGGAGCCCATTTTGGCCACGCTGCGCAAAATGATTCCTGTAGTAGTGATAACATACTCATAAAATTCATAACTAGATATATACGCATCCAAAAAATGTGTTCTTTACCAACCTGTGTTTATATTTAGATCAAAAGTTTAAATTCTTTCGTTACTAACGCCAAAAACTGATTGGATCTAACACTGTCCAAAATCTCATCACCGAAAAACAATCTTCCTAAAATGAGAATGAACAGGAATTACACAGTCTAACAGGATTTCACAACGTGGACGCGATTAATTTCGGGAATTACTCCAACTAAACCTCTTCTAATTAGATGATTGGACCAACAAAACTTGACCGAAAAAATTGGATTAGGATTTGGCATCTCACTCAGGCCGGCCACAGCAAGCACGGCGACAAGCCTCAACGATCCTCTCCTTCCTTACTTTTCTCCACTTCACGACGATCCTCGCCACTACGATCGTCCTGCCGTTTTGATCAACGCATGAACATGTTGTGGCCAACATGAACAGGGAGGGAGAGAAAATAAATTAAGGGCAAAAATAGAGAGAAGATAATGCCTAATCAGTTATTACGGAGGAAGAACGAACACTATAGACGAGGGCAGAAAACCTTAACCCCTGTCTTCCTGTATCTCCCTTCCCTTCTTTCTCTCTGTCTCATGTACGTGAAAGAGATGGGCGGTGGCATAGGAGACCGGCCTCACGAGAAAACCTCACGCCACCATCCAGGAGATGGACTCGATCACGATCAAAGGAGGCCCACTTGCATTACTGTAGCATGCTGCATTCGCTTTTTTGGTTTGAAAATAGAGAAGAACATATATAGCTCTGTCATCTGAAGTCTGATTGATGCGAATAAGTAGTCAAACAAAAAGCATTCAACGAGCTCTATGCATCAGTGGTCTCCGTTTGTATATCCAATGAGCAACGGATCAAAAAGTTAATTATTGATCTATGTTTACAGTATCTAGTCAACCTTCAAAAAAATTTTATTCCATCTGAAAGTCCATATTTGTGCCTTATGTAATCCTGGATGTTACAATACTGGTACGATTAAGTTTCAGCATCATTTTGAGTAATAGCACATTAGTTAGTGATGCCAAGCACATTGATTAAATATTGTGTTGTGAAGAAAGAACCTAGGATCAATTTATTAAGCTTGAGAAACTAAATACTAAACTAATGCTAGTGACAGTGAAAATGGTATCAGACCTGGCGGTGATGAATTCTATGTGGTAGTGTTGGTCAGGTATCTACATAGCACGTGATACAAACGAACAAACAACAATCACAAGCACACCATCACACGGTACACAAGAATGATACAAGAACAAATAGCCAAATTCCAGCTAGGCACTCTCGCTTCCATTGCATGGCCGTGGTGCCTCACTCACGCAGACTAGCGTACGTCAGGAAGCTGTAGTAGTCTCTGGCCTTCCTCTCCACCGGCGCCGCTGCATTCGTGGAAGCTGCAGCAGGCCACGACACCTGAGTGCTCACCTCCGGGCACTTCTTTGGCTGGCTCTGGAACGCCACGCACTCCGCCGGTCGCCTCTGGTTTGCAAAGCCCGGAATGCAGTTGTTGTTCACGTCCAGTACGTGGTCTTTGATTAGCGCTGTGCACGCCGGCCCGACTGAGGTGAAGTAGTTGCCACGCAGCGTGAGGTTGCCCAGGTGGCCAGCCTGCCCAGCAAGCCTGCAGAGAGTGTCAGGAACACGTCCGTAGAGGCAGTTCCCGGCGAGGTTGAGCTGCTCGACTCTGCTAAGGCAGGAAAATGATGAAGGGATTGGGCCCGTGAGCTGGTTCTTGCCGGCGTCGATCACGGCTGCCTTGTTCAGCATGCCGAGCTCGCGGGGGAGGCAGCCGGAGAGCTGGTTGTTCAGGAGTACAATATCGAGGAGGGTGTCGTGCAGGTGCCCGACTGATGTTGGAATTGGCCCGGTGAGTTTGTTGTTGGCGAGGGCGAGGTAACTCAATTTGGAGAAGCCGAAATCCGTGGGAAGGGGCCCAGAGATGTCTTCACTGTTATGGATGAGCGCCCTAGCGTTCGTCGCACTGGCGAGCTACTAGGGATATGCTGTTGCCTCGTTTGGGCTTGGCACCCACACATAACTGTATTAAGTTCTCGGGACCAACGCACGTTCTCTTGAAATCTATAGTTTGGGATGAAGCAAGCAGTGGGATCGTCAAAGTAGAAAATGCTACTAGTGCAGCAGTGTAAGGTAGAAGGATTAAGAGGTTTTGGGTCAAATGCCACTTGGGGTGGCTAGCCATGCTTTCTCTCTGGTTGTTATGAAACGACTCAACGCGGCTGGTCGAACAGAGAGATGATGACATGGTGTATATATAGCGAGCATGTATGCTTTCTTCCGCTGTATATACACACACAGTTATATGATTGTACTATTCACAACCTAAACGTACTACGAAAAGGGAATAACGTCGTCTACTGCAGAGTAATTTATTTGACGGGGAATCATCAAACACATATTGAAAATACTCCTCCCGTCTGATCCCAATCCATCCACCATCCGTTTTCACCATGTTCGCTTGATCGTATCAGCCATGTTTATCAGTCATGATACAGTGTTTTTCTCTCACAACAAAACAGCATCAGCCGGCTTATAAGCCACAGAAACAATCAAGCGAACAGGGTGTTTAGTTTTGCTAGCAAACATAAACGTCCATAGCAACGGCTTACGGCTTAGAGATTTATTTTGTGACCACATCATGTGTTTCAATTTGTCTAGGAATCAAACTTAGAAGCGTACTGCTATACCTCATATAGGCATAGAAGGTTTAGAGGTTTATCAATGAATGTGTTTTGCATTCCAATTTACTTTGGGATCGAACTTATTAGAACAATGCCTGAACACATAACTTGTTCTTCGACAACACTTCGTATTTCAATTTATGCTGAAATCGGACTCCATGTTCTTCGACAACCTACTCTAATATGCGTGGATAATGGGAGAGATCAAGTCTGTCAGATCCCCATTGAACGTTTTTGAGCAATGAAGGTTGAAGAAGCCTTTTGCTCTTTAACATTATTAGGGTTAGATATGTCATAGTGTCCAGGACTCCAATACTTACACACGCACGTCCATCTCCGTCAATCATCTGACTACTCGCGTGCATGCTTAATCTCTCCCTCTTCTTTTCTCAACATCCCTCCCACATCTTGGGCCAATTTGGTAATGCCCTAGGTTCCTTCCAAAACAGCTATAACTTAGGCTCCTTCTGAGAAGTGGCCTCTCTGGTGGATTTAAAACTGATTTAAAAAATATTTGTCTAGATACCTCCCTAATTATAACATTTGTCCAGATAACCCCTAAAGTAATATTTGGTTCCATTTACTCACCAACTATTTGAGTTGGTCTAGTTTACCCTTTAACAAGATTTGTTGTTTGTTTTATTTCTGTACATTTAAATTGAGTTTGAAGATCACATTTTGTGAGGAAATCATAAGTTATGTTAAAAATATATCTTAATTTTTTGCCATTGATATCCGATGAAATTTAATATTAAGGGTCTATTCAGCTGCCTGTTTCGGCAGCGCTGCAGCTGCAAATTTTTACCGTGTCTTGTTACTGTATCTACAGGGTTCTGTGTCTTGCACCGTCACCGCTGCTGCAGCAGCAGCTGCAAAACCAAGTAGCCGAACAGGCCCTAAATTATTAGTAGGGATACAATATGTACGGAATATAATGATGGAAAATTCAGAATTTATTTATGTAATACATCCTCCATTTCTAGATACATGAATGTGTCTTTTAGACGTGGCTTGGCTAATGAAAATCAGACCACTTGGTTTGATCTAGTATCAGAAGTTGCGCAAGTGCATCTCACGAAAAGGAAAGATGTTTTCCGCTGGAACCTTAGTAAGAATGGTCTATTCACAGTTCGGTCTATGTATAAAACTTTGATTACATAAGGCGTTCTCTCTGAGAAAAGTACGTCCTCTTTGGAGAGTGAAAGTACCACTAAAATTAAGATATTCCTGTGGTATTTAAAAAAGGGAGTAACTCTCATGAAAGATAATTTAGTTACATGAAACTGGCAGGGAAGTGTCAAGTTTTGCTTTTGTAGTTCTGTCGAAACTATCTAGCATTTGTTCTTTGACTGTCACTTTGCTAGCTTTGTTTGGAATACAGTGCATATCACGTTTGGAATTTAACCTCCAACTAGCTTCACTAATTTGTTTGGTTCCTGGTTACATGGATTAAGTCCTAAACTCAGAAACCAAATTTTACAAGGAGCTGCTGCTGTGTGTTCGGCGATATGGTTGAATAGAAATGATATGGTATTTAACAAGGTCAAATCTAACACTTTTATGCACCTAATTTTCAGGGCGACGTTTTGGATCCACCAGTGGTCCATACTGCAAAGAGAGGAGGACCGACCATTGTTCAAGAGGGGGTGCAGCAGTTGGAAGACGACCATGATATTGGCCATCTTTGGCAAGTTTGGTTGGAAGTTAAGAAATCGGATTGTGTTTTAGTTCTAGTTTTGTTCTTGTGTGTGGCGCTCACTAGCTGGGCCAAAAATGAGTTTTTACTCCCGTGAGTGTGTAAGCCTTATGGCTTTGGTTTATATTCGGTTTATCAGGGATAGTAGAGGCTGAAACTTTGTTCCCTTATCTAAAAAATAACTTTATTTATGCACTTAGATAGATACATATATAGTAAAATTAATATCTCTAGAAAACCTAAAACATCTTATAATTCAGAATGAATGAACTCCAAAATATGATGTCCTCTATCACCTCAAAAAAATTGAAACTAAAACACAATTTGTACCTAGAGAAACAAATAAGAAAAACAATTTTGAGCTGTAAACTGGAGGAGAAACTTGGGGGAGTAATTTAGTTTTTCTTCTAATCCACACAGTGTGTGTCCGTACAGATGCTGGTTCGGTTATGAGATGAATTCTTTTTAGGAACCTACCATTAGATCACTTCCTTTTCTTTTCTGCTACAGAAGAAATTTCTCGCATCTTAATGGAACCTGTGCAAGCAAAACAACTGTCCCATAGGACGCAACAGGACGGTGCCGGACATATTGAATGGCCTTTGCGGGGTACATCTACCCCTAGAAGAACAAAACATCCAGGCCCGACAAAAGCTCACATGCTGTTACGAGTCTAGCTAGCACACTGACACGAACGGGAGCAAATACGATCTAGTCGCGCGGGCCAAATTTTTGTTGCAACGCAACGTACGTACTCCTCCACATGGCTGGTGGCCGGCCGCCGGCCTGGTGCATACGGCATCCTGTGTGACGATGCATGTCCTCATGTCCAGCCTTCTGGCCTGTGGCTGCGCCAACCATGCGTCGTGTTGGCGCTGCCACTCGATGATGCCGCCAACCGAATCCTAGAAGTAAAGGTTGAGGAGACAGCGTATCGGTGGTTGCAACCTCTTTGAATCGTTCCGAATCTGCCCGACCCAATGACATCATATATATAGTGTATCCATATCATCTACTACTATATGGTTTGTAAAAGTTGAGACGCAAACTAAATCTAGAAAAAAAATCATTTGTTCATAATGAAATTCATGTGCACACATGCATATGATAGGACAATTTTTTTGCGATTTTGTTTTCTAGTACAAATGCGCATGAAATCTGTTAAATTCATATGTTGTTGATCGGGGTGAACTCTGTCTCTATACCTAGGTGTACCATTGACCTTTGCTCTGCATATCTCTTGCAATGGCTCCATAGCCTTTACACAGCTAGCGAAAACACGTTTCATCAGTTTGTGGTGAAGCATGCAATTTTCACGCCATGGTCGCATGTTACACTGGCAAATGTAACAGGAGCATCTCGGCTTATGATCTCGAGGTGAAACAGAACTGAGAAAGCAAATTTTTTGTCGTCGGAATCAACCTGCGGGCTAGAAGCAGGCTGAATGTCCGTCCAACAGGCTAGCAGGACGGACACTACCACTACGTAAAAAACGGTTTATAGCAACGGGATAAATTTTTTGTAGGGACGGCTGGTGATAGAGTCGCCCCTACAGTGACGTGCTCGGGAGTCCAGAGACTTGCCGCCCCAACAAATGAAACAGCATGGGCGGCTGGTCATACGAGTCACCCCTACAAATGGGTCGGATTTGTAGGGGCGGCTCACTCACCAGCCGCCCCCGGTATTGCTATTTGTAGGGGCAGCTGGTGATTGAGCCGCCCCTACAAATGCCCGCGTATAAATACCTCCGATTTGTAGGGGCGGCTCTATCACCCGCCGCCCCTACAAATGACCTACATATAAAGTAAACTGCAGCACCTTCTTTCTCCTCGGGTCACTCACTTTAACCCGTGAAAGAAAGGTGGGGAGGCCTTGGGCGCCTCCCAAAAATTGCTCTACTAAGGGGGGAAGGTTTTGGTCTCAAATACTTTGGTGGAGAGGTTGTAAACGGTAAGAAAATGCTATTCCACACTTTTTTTTGAAGTTTTAATAGTTGGTTAGTGAGTAATTAGAGTTTTGCTTTTCTCTCTCTTCTATGGTGCTTAAGCTACTTATGAAGCAAATTAGACCCAAGTTTTGAATGTACTAGGGTAAATTAGGGGGGGGAACAAGATCATACCCTTATTTGGTTCATGTTTCTTGATTTTAGTGAACAATTAGTTAGTTTTATGGATGTTTCATGTGTATGTAGATCTAGATCTAGGGTTTGGTTTTTTTTATTAATTTTGGTTTTGTAAATTTGTGTTTGCTGAAATTAGACAAGGGTTTGCATGAAAGATATTAGGTAAAATATAATTGTTGTCTTTAAAATTGTTTATTGTAATCAACAAATATGTATTTTAATTATTTATGGATAAATGGGCCATTAATTA